AAAAAAAAAACGATTACAGGCATGTGATGCCAGAGGGCATGGAAAATAAAATGAAATTGGAACCAAAATCCGAGTTTGTATTTTGGAAATCATGAAGTCAAAATTTCATTGTTATATTTTTTTAGTCAATTTTTCCTCGACTTGTCCAAATAATTAGATGTTTCAAATAATAATAATGATAATAATAATAATAGTAATAATAAACTTTATTTAAAGAGGGTAAAACATGTTAAGTGCGCACACTTATCTTACACATGGCCCTCAAACGCACTAGTAAGTGAAGTATACTTTACTCCTGAGATAAAATTTGATACAATGGTATTTGTCATTTCCAGGATGCCGCAGAAACTACAGATGCAATACCAGTATCAAACATTGACGATGTTACTATTGCTGTCAGTGGCCACGACACTAATGACTCCACAACATCATCAACCGCAGTGCACCCGGACAGTGGAGACCACGGCAGCCATTCTATGCAGAAACACAGCAAAAAGGAGACAGTGATCAATGGAGACTCTCTGTTGAATGGAGATTCATCTGAGTTTTCTAAACAGGAGGACAGTGGTGAGGCTGGCTCCAAAAAACATACTGAACATGTGACAGAACATGAGCACAGGAGTCATAAAGAGAAAGATATTGAAAATAAGGGCATCAAGGCTAAAGGAGCAGACCACCACCATCAACACTTGTCTCACAGTCATCAGGACAGACATAAACACAAAGAGAAAAGTGATGAACCCGAAAAGAAATTGGAGGTTAAGGCGCACAATAAAGAGAAGGCCTATGATGAAGTGGACAGATCACCCAGGGCGGGGCACAGGTCAAAGTCCACTGGGCAAAGGCTTCCTCAGGAAACGCCCATAGCAAAGGTTCAGGAAGTGGCCAGAAATTCTCCAAAGGCCTCACCTGTGATTTCTTCCAGGTCTGGTGATGGCACGTCAGTGCAGCCCAAGACTGGGGGACAGCCAGCCAATCAAACACCAGCAATTCCAAGTCCAGCCAATCAGAGGAGGTCAAAGGCGCCGGCTGCGGAACCAAGCAGACTGTCCGTGAGCTCGGCAGGATCAAGTGCTCAACCTCTTTCTCAAACTGGAACATTATCCGACCTTAAGAAAAAGAGGGCGGAATCCCATCAACAGAGAATAAGTAGCTACAACCCAGAGACGGGGGAGATGCACCTAGGTGTCACTAATGCCAATTCCAATAAATATGAACTGCCAGAGAATGGCCACAACAGTAATTCCGGCAATTCTAAGGAGCCTAGCTTGGACTACTATTACCCACCTGGAGAGCAGATGAAAAGGTTCCGTGCACAGGGACCACATGAGATAATAGGAGGTGATGACAATAAAGAAGGTTGTTGTGTTATACTATGAAAAATCCATTTAATTATGATGAAAAGTTTTTATAGCAACACTGTAGGTGTGATGTAGTTGTAAGTCACATTGAAGTTCAAATGGTTTATAAATTAAAATTACCATAAAAAGAATTTTTGCATTTGATTGTTGGGTTCTAACACTGGTATCAAGAAGTTTTGCCAGTTGTAAGCTACTTAAAGAATTCTATGTCTGGAGTGACTGGAGATTTGCTGTGTCCAGATGACACAATGTGATTATTACTCAAAAATGGGGATATAATGACGCTGGGAGTCATTCGTTAGGTTGTGTTCTGTGAAATGTTTAAATATGTTTTCTTATACAGTCCATACATGGGATATTTTATTGTCCTGCCAAGGATTATAGCCCCTGAAGTAAAATTGATTCAGAAACAAGTGATCATATTGTTATTATACAGTATATACTTAACTATATACAAACGGTTCCAGCTAGCATTTGTATTTTGTATATAAGTGAAAAATATAATGTAAATTTCAGTATGTTTGCTTATAGATGGTTTACCTAAGACATAAACTGAATCCACTTTGTTGTATATAAAGTTCAGGTGATGACAGACTGGGACATGTACTGGCAGTTTTTGTTGTCTTCCTTTGTATTCAACCCATGTCTCTGAGTTTGAAAAAAGACGACTGCTGTTTTGATGGTGAGCGTTTGATTGTTTTGCACGCCACAAGTTTAGGTGCTGTTCCTGTGAGATTTTGGTTGTGATTTAGAGACCATTCCCATAACCCTATTGTACTAGCATGATCGATCCATTTCCAAGGGGATTCTCGTTAAATTGCTATAGTTTAAGCGTGCACTAAAGTTAATTACCACCCCCCCCCCCCCCCAGCAGTTTCAGTGGGCATTACAGACAGTTCAGCCACTTAAATTTAGCCAGAATCCCCTTGGAGTTAGACTGATCCTGCTAGTATGATAGGGTTATGGGAACCCGGTCATAGAAAATTAATGCAGTTAGCTGCATGTCATCACCTCTAGGCAGGTTTCCAGTTGAGATAGGCCAACTTTAATCGGCACAATCTACCAACATCCCATCCCAGCAGGCCATCCACTTGCACATAGTTCATAGTAGGAAGAAAATTAGAGGTAAGGTTGCTCTGTAAAACAGGCCTGTAGCCAGCAATTTCAAAAGGGGAGTTCTTTTTTCTGAAAAAATGGACCTTTTACCATGAAACCTTCTTGTACCTAGATTAAATTTTACCCAGAGGGGACCTTTTCCCAGCAAAAAGGGAGGTTCTTTTGAACCCCCTGGCTACGGGCCTGTAAACTTATGTAAATGGTGGACTGGAAATCTTGGGGATTAGTTGGGCCGTCACTAGTGAGTTAATTCTTGAGCATTTGACCTGCTTAAAATAGTTGGACCAAGATGAGTAGGCCTAACTAGAATGGTAACACAGCTTTAGAGTGCCTCCACAACCAGCAGATTATTTTGTACCTTTACCAACTGCTGCACCACAAGAATGGGGACTTTTCATCTTATAATTTGAATGTGAAATAGAAACTGTTGCCAGAGTGTGTAATGCCCTGAAACTGGGATTTTGTTGGAAATTAATAAAGAGAAAATCCTTTCCTTAGGTTAATACTTGTAGTATTATTTCCATCCCTGTGCTTGGCACTTAGATGTACCACTGCCACAGAGAAGCCGCCTACTCATGATAATTCAACACCATCAATTTTACACCTGTCTTGAACTGTTCATCACATACATGTTGAAATCTGAGAATTTTTTTAATTGTGTAACTCAATTTAACCCATTCTTGTTAACCTCGGGGTTTGTTTCATTAAAGTAATTGATATGTCATACTGTATGCTGTTCAAGTCACTGTGTAGAATCAAGCCTAACTAACTACATAATTTTTAAACTGATTTCTACCATGGTTCTGTAGGCAGTATGTTTGTGTCTCCGGAGTCCTCAGTTATCACCTGTGATTCAAGCTATTTTTTTTTCTGTAATTTTATTTTTTTTTTACTGAAGGCACAGGCATGACAAAGATTTGGTTTTAGTTTACAAAAATGGCATTTAGCTTTTGGCTAGTGCCAATAATGCGCATATTATCACTATGTAGGAGAAAAGTGAATGAAACACAAGGTATGAAAAAGTATCAGGTCTCTCATTGTGATTCACACATTTTGTTATTTTTCAAGGACTTGCTCAGTTATGGCATTTAAAACATGCAATATTGCAGTTCCTTTACTGAAGAATTTGGTAAATGTCTCTGTAAAATGAATGAGGCGTAGAAAAATAATCTTGTATATTGTTCTGTTAGAAATGGATATTCTTCACCAAGACTTCAAAGTGCACTGACAATTTAAAGTACATGGTAGACTTGAACAAAAATAATATGCAACTATTCAGGATTGTGAGCAAGAAGAATAGAAGTCATAAGTTTGTACAGAATTTCATCATAATTGTTATTTTTGTATATCCTCATGAATTGAATTAAAGCATTTGAGATGGAACAAAATTGTTTTCTTCATATCTTCTCCAATTTCAACCATTTTAAAGCAATATGTTATGAAATATACACACTAAACAGGGGCAGATTGAGGTCAACTTCTGGGTCTTCCAGAAGACAGATTTTGAAATTTATATTGATGGGTATCTAAAAATGGAGGATGGATCAACAAAGATAATTTGGAAGACTGTCAGAAAATATCTCTGAATCCACCCCTGCTAAATACACCAAGATAAAAGATTTCATTCTATTTTCAATACTTTTCCACTTATATCTAAATTCCCCCAAAAACATTTTGGGCAATCTAATATAATAACCACTTCTTTCTGCCATGAACATCCATGGTTGATAAATTACGTATATTTACTTCCTAATGCAAATTTATCACAAAATTGATTTCATTTCAAAAATGGCCAGAGCTGTTCAATGGTTGTAATGATGTACAAGAACTAAGAACAAGAACTATTACACCTACACAACTCGTGATTTTTTCTGTAACAAGACCAGAAAGTCTGTATATTATGGGCCTGTCCTGCCTGGTTGCAATTGCCAAATTTTGTATATGTAAATGGCATCTACTCAAACCAGTTTGTGTTGAGAAGGATGCAAACATTGCAAATAGGCCCTCCCTATACCTTTAAATATATACCTTTGAATGATTACGTTTTTAAATATAATGATTATACTTATAAATGTTCAATTATTGTATGTTGAACAATCTGTCAGCTGAATGACATATATCTACCCGTCATTAGCCTCAGCTTGCCCAATTACACTTGGACTTTTGGTTTTTGGTCACATAACTTACAGTAGTGACTCAATTTTTAAATGGGGAAAATTGTGACTTTTACAGATACTGTATTTTGAAGTCATAAATTCTTAAATTAAGAACATTCCCACTGAACAGTAGCAACAAAATTAAAATACAGGCTACCTTATATACAGTGAAAGACCGCATTCACAACGATTTGAGCCAGGCTTTACAAATCCTGGGACTAAATATGGCGGACGTACATGAAAGGAAAACCGCCTGATCTTTTAAAAGTCTCTCCGACTCTCACACACCTCCCCATAAGTCGTCCCTGCGGGGTACAGTCATTAAATCTCGGCTGTGTTCAACATGTGGAAGCTACCTGAGAAAAAGAAATGAATTGGCTCGTAGAGCAGCTATGAATCGGGATCAAAATCGTGAAAACACCCCCCCCCCTTCCAGTTCGATTAGGCGTAGGAAACAAGGCAAACATCAGCATCAGAACGAACGGCGCCCTCTGATGAGACTGCATAGGCAAAAATTCTGCCCTCCTCCTCCTTCGTCTACTGGGGCTGGGTATCTCCGTGAATATCTCTGGTGACATTATCTCCGTAGATAGCCGATTCATTGCTGCTCTACGGGCCAATTCATTTCTTTTTCGTCTCCTTTTTGAAAGATAATAGAACAGAAGAGCTTTTTTCCTTCGATCCCCTCCATCCGCCATGCTTTCTTCACCTCGTTTAATTGATGAGCATACGCACTTAATATTTCTCAGGTAGCTTTCGCATGGCGAACGGAGCCAAGATTTAATGACTGTACCCCGCAGGGACGACGTGTGGGGAGGCGTGTGAGAGGCAGAGAGACTATTAAAAGATTAGACGGTTTTCTTTTCATGTACGTCTGCCATATTTAGTCCCAGGATTTGTAAAGCCTGGCTCAAATCGTTGTGAATGCGGTCAAAGCACCACAAATGATTCAAGTATTTTTAATGATACCAAAATTATATATCTGTAGGCTTGTTAAATTATCCCCATTCAAAAGATTGAGTCAATTCCGTATGCACACCCGCATAAGGGTATTCGATCTTTGCATTGAGCAAAGTTCCCATTTGGTGCACCTCTACCAAATACACAGCAAAATGTCTGGAGAAAGAGAAATTTAGTGCTGGAAAAAAAAAACTTTGGTTCAGTTCATACACCTGGTGCCATAATAACACAAAACTTCTGTCCATTCCACTGCCTCTTCCTCTGTCCGAGTCCTCAGCTTGAAATGCCTGTCTTCTGTCTCTATCACAATGACCCTGGGGTCTTCCCTGTTTTGGCGTATGGGGGCTCCCTTCATATACACAGAGCCCAGGTTTTTATCATTGGGTTTTTTCGAGTAGTGCAGGTGTCCCGTGATGGACACCTCAAAATAGCGTTTATCCCACTTGGGATGGCGGTGGGTACCTCCGCTGAGTTTCTCCAGGTAGCCCTCTATGGTGGGACGCGTGGTGGCAATGGAGGTGGTACTGTTGCCTCTTTTTAATCCCACAGACCCTCTCCCATCTGGCTTTTTACTCTCTGGCATTGACTTCTGAAGGAGAATGAAAAAATGAAAGTAAAAATAGTAAGAAATCAAACTTCGCGTCATACAAGTTGGCAAACCATCTATATGTAAATTCTTCTTTACTCTGCGTAGGAAGGTCATCTAATGGCATGCACACCATAATTGCTTTTAATTTTACATCAAATATATTGGGGATTTTAATTTGTAAAGAGGTATGTTGAATTCAAAAAGGAGTATGATCGGACTATTTTACAAAAGGATATGGATTTTTATTTATTTATTTATTGCATTGTCCACCCTTTATTTCCAAACTTTTTGTCTCACTTAAAATTTAATTATTCCTAAGAAACAAAGTGAATGTAAATTACACTGTTTACCTGTGAGTCTCTGGTGCTGTCTCTACTTGGTTCCTCTTGTAAACTTTCCTGCAAAACTGCAGCCAAACTTTTGCTGTAATAAACATGGAACATTTATCAAATACCAATTTTAATCTCTCATATTTCCACACATGCACACACACACACACATACACAAAAAAAGAAGAAAAAAATACTGCTAAACTGATGAACTTTATTTTTATTTATTGATTTCTTTATTTTTATTCTATGTTGTGCTATGCTCACACAGGTGTCTTGTTCTGCCCTGCAACCCTCTGCTGCTGTAGCTTCACCTTCTTCAAACTTTGCATGAACTGACTCACGATTGCAAATGTTTCATCTGATGACTTGTTGGGAGATTCTCCAAACTTTGTCTGATGAAAGAAATAGCACACTGATGAAATGCTGAAAAAGTCTTGCACAATTAAATTCTTATGGTGGCAGGTGAAGACAAATAAGTTTTGGGGTATTCAACCAGGCTCAGCCTGATAGTCAGGTGGACTCCTGAATTTATCTTAGGCCACATTCACATCAAGTTGAGCCATGGCTCTACAAAACCACCTTATCTTTTAATAGTCTCTCCGTCTCTTACACGCCTCCCCATGTATCGTCCCAATGGAGCCGAGATTTAATGACTGTACCCCCGCAGGGACGACGCTTGGGGAGGCGTGTGAGAGGCCGGGAGACTATTAAAAGATAGGGTGGTTTTCCTTTCATGTATGTCCCCCATATTTAGGTCGTGGCTTTGTAGAGCCATGGCTCAACTCGATGTGAATGTGGCCTTAAACTGAAGAAGACCAATTTCTGAACTACAAAATCCAAAATAACTAAATTCTTTTTTTTTTTTTTGAAACCAGCCCTGGATAATTAAAAACTATATTATGAAATGCATGGGAATGAATGAACATACAAGAAAGTTTGAGTGCATTAAATATACATTAATTAAAGTACTGAAAGGGATGATAACTCTCCGTATGAGATCTATATTTCACAATAAAAACATTGTGAACAACTCATAGAAATATAATATATTCTGTTGTACCAAAAAATGGCAGTTACAGCTATTATTCTGATATCTGAGCTTGTCTTTAGACCACGGGACCTCCATTGATGGCTATACTCTGTTATAATCTCTTAAGACATCATAACAAAAAAAAAACTTTTTAGAAAAAACTTTGAATGTAAAAATGGATTCATTAACCATTGGTAAGTATGGGAATATTGTTGTTTACTCCAGGAAAATTCATTTTTTAGTCAAAACAAAGTTAATATCCCTTTAAGCACGCATCCATAGTGATCATTTCTGTGGGGAGAGGTGATCACCCTCTGAGATGGAAAATAAGATTAAGGAACTGGCCTATGTAATGCTACTACCCTCTACCAGGGCGTCAGATTGATTTTCCACAGATATTCACTGATATGTCTCCAGATAAATAGACAGTTATTTTGGTCTGATGTCACCCTGTAATGGAATCTCAAGGATGATTACATGACTGGTAATTGTTTGCATAACTGCTCAGGCACTGCCACTTGACAGGTCCAGTCTATGGGCGCATTCCCATAGATTTTAGATGGATCTATCCCCGTGGGGAGTCTCACTAGATTACTGTCAGATAATCCGGCTTAAATACCCATCCCACCTACTACAAGCTGTAAGGGGGTAATTAACTTTCGTGCCCACTCGACTGACAGCTATTTAGCATGAACCCCCCGGGAGTTAGGTCGATCTAGTTGGATCCATCTAATCTCTGGGAATGGGATCTAAGTCCGATTGACACCAATCAAGACAGTTAATTGCTCTGACCTTAATCACTTGTTCTCCTGTGACAGATAATAATAGCCCCTCATGAATAGCTTGTTACTTCAGAGTGAGGCTAACTGACAAATCCCCTATAGAAGTTGTAGAGGTATAAATACTGGTGCAGTAAATAATTGTACAAGAAGTACTAAAGTAAACAAAAGAAAGAGTCAATGCACCACTGATCATGATATTATGAAATCAAACTGATGTTGTACCACAACCGTATGTAGAATGTCCACGCTGCACTTCACAGTCCTAATACCCGCGAACACCTATCTGTAGCATATCATTACTGTGGCAGACCTTTTTCAAGGAGTCCGAACACCTATCTATAGCATATCATTACTGCGGTAGACGTTTTTCAAGGAGTCCGAAACAAGTAAGTCGTATTAAAGACAAGGAGAGTCTAAATCATTGCACCAAAAAGACAATACCTCCAGGAATTTATTGTTAGAACATCTCTCAATTTTCTCATTCTTTTCGGACGAAACACCTGACATGTTTTTAAACTGTAGTACCCAATTGTGGGATAAGGCTTTTGGGGAACCCCTTCCAACCACATGACTAGTTTCAGCAGACAGCAGAGCCTTAGGTCCCGTAACGAGCAGTTACCATATCGACACGAAGCTCAGCTCCTTCAGAGCGGGTACAATGCAATCTACGCGGGGGCAGATTTAATTGTTTCCTTCTGGAAAAATGTCCACAATAAATACTGTGATCCTGGTAGAGGGTAGTATGCTACTACAAAAACTGAAATGGAATTCAGAAATATGATTAAGATTCACCTGTTGTGTTAATTTGTATACTTTTTGAAATTTTTTTTTTTTTTTTTTTTTAGTGTATATAATATATCCAGAGAAATTAGAGACTGAAATTGACACATTACTAACAGGCATAATATCAGTCACCTATGTGAACTTAGTAATAGGTTTACAATCATCTTTCTCTTGCAAACGAGTCTCAGATTATACTTGATCACGCAACTGACGTAAAAAAGGAGTTTCTTTGAAAAGAAAATCGAGACGAGTGCATTGTTATGCTTCCTGACAAGTGCAAGTCAGCTGAAGATACAATGGTTCACTTGGTGCCCTTTCAAAAGTCAAATGCTAAAGAGACTGTTGGCAGATCCAACTGCAAAAAGGGAAAACATTGGGTGAAAAATGGAGACACCCTGACACTTGATCTGCATGCAACAGTGTCATCTTACAAGTTGTGTATTGTCTATCAAACTGCACGCTTTGTAAAGTTCATGCTGGTGCATCAGAAGTAATAAAATAATGTTATATACCATACTTCATAGAACAGTGATCCCTGCTGTAACAGAACCGCACCCCAAACTCCTTCAAAATGCCTAAATGGATTTAAGCCCAGGCTTAAGCTGAAGCCCCCTGCTTTAACACTGTACATATAACATGTTGATAGCTTGATGCTATGATACAGTAGACTGGTTTAGCACATATGGTTTGGGAATTTATAAAAAATAAAAGACCCCTGAGTTAAAAAGAGCCCCCCCCCCCCCTCAAAAAATTCTTAACCTTTACATTGCAGATAGAGCCACTGCTGCATGAAATATGGTTATCATGCAGCAGTTATATCATGTTACTGTCAGTTGGCCTGGAAAAAAGACTGAAGGTGAACCAGCAAATATTATGCAACAAATCAAAACATACATATACAAATTAACAAGCATAATAAGTAAATAGATAGCTGAAAAGGTAGGATAAACTTTACCTGAATGGTCTTGAATTTATTTAGCACCTGGTTACCCTTGTCTGCAAGAAGCTGCAGCCTTGTAGCATGTGCAGCAGCAAACACCTGGAGATACAGTTCAAATAGAGGGCACGCATTCAGAACAAGGTCAATAGAACCTTGGATCAAATATGGCTGACCAACAATAAAGCAGAGCCGACTAATCCCCTGATGGTCTCCTCGCCTCCACACATGCCATGATTGCAGGGCCCTAGCAATTAAACCTCAGAGCTGTGATTTAATCCATTTAATGGTGCATGGAGGTGGGTAGACCATCAGCGGATTGGTCGGCTCTTCTTTTATGTCAGGTCAGCCATATTTAGTCCTCAGATCAGTAATTCCACAGTTCATCTACTCTGAATGCACTCAGAGTTTACCATAATATTATATTTCGTTTATACCCCGCCTGTATTCTTATACCCTTCAGTGCATTCAAGTACATTCATATTGTTTGAAGCACCAGCTTTGGGATAAGTTAATTAGTTCATATAGTGTGTCACATTATAAAATTATACACCTTGATAAAATTACCATCTTCTATATCACATGCAGTGGACAATTTGTGTTGCAACTAGTACTTAAAGGCACACACTGAGGCTGAAATCTTTACACAGAAAATATTAATTTTCCTAGAAATATTGTCCCCTATCTCTTAATCTACAAGGCATAAAATACCCAAAACCCTTTACAGAATAAAAATCTTTAAACCTAGCTGTTACTGAGTTTTAAGTTTCTAGGTTTTTTAAGTAACTTTAAGAATTTTATTTTATTTTAGTTTTAGTTTTTACACATGCTGCTTTTTATAATCTAGCTCCACCATATATAACTGATTTAGTCAAACATTATAGCCCTCAAAGATCCCTGAGGTCTGGTGACAAACTTTTACTGAAAGTTCCAAAATCAAGGTTAAAATCATATGGTGACATATCATTTTGTGTAGCTGCACCAGTAGAGTGGAATAAGTTGCCAATTTTTATTAGACAAATAGAATCACAAGAATCTTTTAAAAAGGAATTAAAAACTCATATTTTTAAGACATTTTATTCATGAATCTTAAATTTTATAATTTTAAAGAAACCTTGGATTTTTTTTTACTTTTAATTACTGTTTATTACAATTAATTAAGTTAGTTTAGCTCTTATTTATATAAAATATATCTTAACCATTTTTATCTATAAACTTCTTTGTATTTTATGTTGTACAGTCTATTGAACATTTTATGGATTTTAGACTTGAAATAAATATATTATTATTATTATTAACTCTTAGCACTATAGAGAATGGTGAATTTCACTCATGATGGTAAAAATAAGAAATTTAGAAACTGAAAACAGGTTTATAGAATAATTTTCATAATGGTTTTGGATAGAGTTTTCCTTAATGATAATTGAGGAAAATTGCTGAAATGTTCAGGAAAAGTCTATTTTTAGTGCTATAAAAATGTCTTATGCACATTGTATGCCTTGAAGACATTCACAAATGAAGCAACAAGGTACATAAAAACAAATGAACTGTTCTGGAATAAATAAGCTCACCAATCAGATTACTGTTCACTATGCCGCTCAAGTGCAACACACAAAAGTACTTACTCTTGTGACTCTAGGTAACATTCATCTCCACTCAGACCAAAGACACTAGCTCAGACCACATTCAGACCAGACAGAAGATGTAACTCTAGTTTTCTTTCATCTAAGACTTCATGCACAGTAACTGTTGTGTAAGTTTTATTTCAATTTCATGTATTTATTTTATGAGGACAATATTGTTTTAATTGTAAGGGATATTATCAGGTATTTTTGTATTTTGTAAGGTAATTTTGTACCATGAAATACTACAGTACAATATGGTGCAGTGTAGTTTTAAAATAAAGACACAAAACGCCACATAAAGACCAATATTAAGGGCCCATTCCCATAGCCACCAATGGATACAAAAAAGCTGTGCTGATTACACACATACGTTGGAAACAAGAGAAGGCATTGATTATATATAAGCTGCTTGCACTTAGCAAGAGTCCTCGCAGATAGAGTTTGGTCGATCTAAGTAAGAACAATGGTGCCTGTGGGAATGTGGTCTAAGTTTGATAGCTAGTAGATTTTTTTAATATGGACCAATGTCTTAAACCAAACTTGCATCCAATATACATACTTCAACATCTTTATGAAAGTTTTCACCCAGTGCTCCTTTTTCTTTACTCTTCTGATGGAGAACATTGTTCAGTTTCTTGATTTTTGCCAGGTCTTTTTCCATCACTGAAATGAATCAGGAGATAAGGATGATTTCATATATGTATACGAGTAAAACATTTTATGAAATGTCACATGAATATACACGGAAAGTTAATGTTGCACTGATTAACACCTTCAGAAACCACTACAAATTCTGAAATCAGCCTGACAACAAGCCAGGTGACCTTGAGGGTCCCTTTACCCTCCATAAGTGACAATAAACATTTGTAAATTCCATCATGGACAAAATTTTGTCCATGTTCCTTATAATCCTGGTCAAAATCCACTGTATAACTTCTAATACATTCACATGAAAATTGACCATACATCCAATGATCACACACACACACACACACACACACACACACACACACACGTGTTGATAAGACTCCATAAGTCACTGTAACCTGCAAAAATGCCATTAATAGTAAATTGTAGAATTTATCAAACCACCCAAATTAATTTTATAGGGTTTCATAAGTGAGGTCCTCACCGTCCACCTCTGCAGTGAGAGCTTGTAACGAGAGATCACAACACTTGTCCACCGTGGTCAGCTCCTCCGTCACGTCCAGGGCAGCACTGTCCTTGGCCTGAAGCTCACTGACCACATAGTGCAGCAGTGTCGTACTCTTGTCTTTGGACTTGTAATCTGCAAGCTGACAAGATTTCAATTTTGTTCATCAAAAAGTCAGGATAGAAGTTAGAAATATCAGAAATATCATCATGTTTTTGGGTACCCTCAATCAGCCTCTATATTGAATCACCATACATTTGCAGTGCATTTTTGCAAAAAAAATACCTTTACTTACAGCACTGTCAGAATATCAATGTTAGTCTATATGAAAGATTCCCTTAGGAAAAAAAAAAAAATATATATATATATATACATTATATTTATTATCACCATCATCATTATCATCATTCTGTCAAATTTTCTATTTATCTTTATATTCATTTTATCATTATTTTTAAACAGCAAACTGACAGGTAAACTTCTTCCTGATGATGCTTAAACAACATGCATTAACTAATTTAAGTAATCCGTACCTGTACATGCAAGGACAGATTAAATACTAAATACAGAAGTTGAGATAATGAGTTATGGGCCTAGCTGGCACTATTTATGTGCTCAAACTATTCCTAATTGCTCTCCTGAGCAATGAGCTACACTACTGTAAGTGTTATATGTAATAAGGAGCTTTCAAATAAGAACTATAATGAACCCTTCACTTTACAGGACTTAGTACCATAGATGAGACTACCATTTAGTGAAAAAAGTCTGAATATTTGGCATGGGGTCTCAGGGGGCGCTGGAACTGATCTCAAAAACGATACTTTTGGCTCCCAAAAATTTGGAAATCCACCGATAATCGGAACAATCTCAATACTGTGGTACATAGCAAAAAGGTTACATACGGGCAATGGATGCCTAATTGACAAAAAAGTGTATAAAATAAACTGAAAAGTTTATGGTGTATGTGTGAACTACAGAAGTTTTCCTCTTAAAAATACTACATGGAAGTATTTTCAGTTGTTGTATCTCAGCAATATGGAGCTAAATCATTCCTAAAGACAACAACATGGTATCTTTTAGCCGTAGTTTTCTTTTAACTTGACATCTGGTTGTTGGTGTCACTGCTGCCTTTGAAATTATCCCTAACCGCGGTCTGTGGTCTTCTAAATGTCAGAAAATCTCAGGTTAACTAGACAGCACAGCTGAAAAATATACTCAGCAGAAAAAAAAAGCCATCCCTATTGCTCCATTCTAATATAAACCGATGCATTCCAGTAAATATGAACATCTGTAAAAAAAATTCAATCGTATGGATTTTTTCTAAAGAAACCGTCCAATTTTGCCAAACAGAGCAACTCAACAAAATTGAAGTAAAACATAAATACGGTTTTGCATTTATGGGGTGAACGTCACCGAAATTAAATAAAAAAAAATTTGATAACTTTTGTAAAAATTATTTGATCATGCTGATTCTCCAAAGAAAACTGACTTTTAATGAACAAAGGCACTTAGCAGATTTGAAGTAAAATATGAGTACAGTTTGGCACTTTGTGGCAAACATCACCAAAATACATGCAAAAAAAAAAAAAAAATCAATAACTTTTGTTTTAAAAAATACTTTGATTGTGCAATATTCAAAAGGAATGGTTACCTGAATTTTAACCAAACAAAGCCTCCCAACAAATTTGACGTAAAAATAAAAGCAGTTTGGCACTTATGAGGAGAATGTCACCAAAAACAACTTTTATTACAGTAATCTGATCCTGCTATCTTTTCAAAAGAACCTGCCATTTAACCAAACAATGTCCCTCAGTAAACTTAAAGTAAAAGAAAAAATGCTTTGGCATGCAGTTATACAGGGGCGGATCCAGGATTATTTGAAGGGGGGTCTGGATATCAGGAATGACAGGCTGTGGATGCAAAGCTGACCCCCCTCCCCCACTAGCGTGCGTTCGAGGCCTGCTAAAGCAACCTGAAAATTTTGGTACTTTAGAGGGCAACCAGTGCTACATGTATATAGTTTAGTTTAGAACTATGATTCAGCTAGTCGAATTCCAATTTCAAAAGGGGACCACTGGTGTGATTTTTTCAGACCCCCCTGAACCCCCCCCCCC